TTACCAAACCAGGCTATCAAGGGGGTGAAGGATGAGGAGGATCCAGTGAAGATGAATGTTTATCTGTTGGTGGTAGCCTTTGGTTATGTATTTCTTTTGCCTACATTTTTCTGTTTTTTTCTCTTTTTGTTTTGTGTGTGTGGATTATAATTCAAGTAGATGGAGTGCAAAACCAATGTATTGTGTGGATTGTTGTACTTTAAAGCTGCATAAATAAATTGGATTTTGACTTCATTAGATGATGTGAATTTTACTAATTTTAAAATTTTAAATTTCCAAAAAGAGACAAAAAAAAAAAAAAAAGCAAAGAAATGATAATGTATTCATTGTAAATCAGTTCAATTCAATAAAGACTGATGAAAAAGGAAACATAAATTATGTGAAATACACCACAAAATATCATAGAAGAGCTCTTTTTGATCGTTTCATGTCTGGTGATTGTAATTGGTTTTTATCTTTCCGAGGACTTAAGTTGCTTTATTTAGCTCTCGGCGTTATGAATGACGCTATCTCGCCAGAGATTCTCAAGTATGGAAAGGATGAAAAGATGGATCTTTGGTGGTAGTTAAGCCATTTGCAGGTTGTGGTTGTGGTTGTGGTGGTGGTTTCGTGATCGAAGTAGAAAAATGGAGGAGTTGATCGGCGGTGTTGAAGAGGAGAGAAAAGGTTGGTCGGCTGAAATGGGGATTTAGGTTGTTTTTGATTTTTCAAGCAATACATTGCTTAAACTGTGTGTTTTGGTGAAGAGGGAGTTGGGCTAGTTTGAACTGGTCGCAGGTAAACCGCTGAGGTGGGCTTGGTTTTTGTCTTAGGGCCACTGTGGGTTTGAACTGAGTGGATATGAGCCGCTGAGATGGGTTCAACACATTGGGCCACTGCATTTTTAAGCCCGTTTTGCCGAGAAATCTCCTTCTGCGCATTCCTCTTGCACTTAGGCCTTCAACTTGTTAACTTCTTCAATGTAGTCCCTTTTTCTGAATTATCTATAAGTAAGCCACGTATCCTATAATATTTATGCGATTAGTAATAATTTTAAATTTTGATAAATATATTAACTTTAATTTTTTACTATCAATCACCAATCACATATGTTGGACATAAGCAATATGACAATTGACAAGTGACCAATCATAAGGAGAATCACAAAAAAAAGAAAAAGAAAAGAAAAAAGTGAGCTAACGTTTACAGTTGACAGCGTTACTCAGCCCTTATTGTCGAATACGTAATTATATTTTAAGCTTGGCTCATGGAGTGTATGGTACACGAAGGTTGGTTCACATTAAAGTTACTGAAACCCACTGAAGACACCGGAAGAAGACTAACTTTGTTTTTTTTTATAGAAGACTGACCTTGGTGGGGCGTCTGGTATGCGGATGGGGGAATTAAAGTGTTGCGCTTGAAAAAATATTCTATAAAATTTTATCTCCTAAAATACATACCAAGCATGCATGCCCTTAATTATAAGCAAAGTGGGCGTCCTTACATCTTAAGTTATTTCACATTTTATCTCCTAGAATATATGTGAACTTTTTTATTGGACACTAGTCGGTATTTTTTTTAGTTCAATATACTGTATAATATATTTACTAAAATAATTATTATTTTAAATTTAAAATTAAAGATAAATAAATTTATAAATATCATCATACATATAACATACAAAAATTAACTAAATCAATTATATTTATATTATATTTTAATAACTGAACTGAACTAGTATTGAAAGGTATGTCTAATAAGAGAGTTTGACAGTCATTTTCCTTTCTTATTTAATTTACATTTTGGTATGATCTCATAGTACGTTTGATATTATTGTTTCTTTTCTCCTAAGCCAAGACTGAACAATTAATGCAACGTTCCCATGTATGCTGATTAAAGGATATAGAATGACAGCAAATCATGGCAATATATAACTAGAAAAAATCATTTTATAGTTTAGACTACATTAGACTAAATCTGATAATAAGAATGGATCTTACCATCTATTAGATTATGTTTTGCAATCTAATGATTCACAATTTCACATAAAGAATAAAACTATTTGTAGTATGCATGTAATTTCACTTCTTTAGGGTATGTTTGGAATTGTTATGAGATACTATAACTGAAAATTATTTTGGTATTTAGTTATTTATTTTCTAAAAATATTATAGATAAAATATAGTAAAATTTTATTAATTATTAATTAAAATTTAAAAAATATTGTATATTAATTATTAATAATTATATAACTATTAAAATAAATAACATTTATTACTTTTTAATAATTTAAGTTTTTTAAGTTTGTTATGATAGATGCTTTTTTAGGTTTCGTGGGAGAGCAACTATAAGAAGGGAACAACTTTTTAAATTTTTTATAAAATTTTTAAATAAACAAGATGTTAAATTTAAATAAAATATTATAAATTATAATATAATTAAAATATACAAAATTGAGTTTTAATGAATAATTTTGTAATTTTATTAAATATTAAGTGTTGTCTGTGAAAATTATAATCAGAATATTTCAAAATGAGATTTCTAATTTTATATATAAAATTACTGTGAATTTATTGCAATTTTTTTGTAACTTCCTATAACTTTTAAGAAAAAAGTAATTCAAAAAAAAAT